GGAGGCGCTAGCTTCGTGTCTCCCTGGTCTGCTGGGGGGAAGCAGCTAATGCGGGGTTGCCTTACCCCATTTGTAAGTAGGGATCGGATGTAAGTCGGATCCTGTAACCCGGGGACTGCCTGTACTCAACTCAGGGAACATCAATGAGTTGAACACATGCAAAATGGGAAACGACTGCCTAGGAAGAAGCACTGCAGAAAGTGATCTGGGGGTCATAGTGAATCACAGGCTAAATATGATTCAGCAGTGAAACCTTGTTTTTTTTGTTTAAAAAAAAAAAAAGGCAAACATTCCAGGTAGGGATGTAATCGTGTAGTTGGTTAAATGATTAACCGATAAGCAAAAGCTAATTGATTAATGCTATCATCTGCATGCATTCCTCCCTCCTCTTGCCCCTCACAGTTTTGTCAGTAAATTTTGATAGGGCTGGCCAGTAGCCTGGCTCAGTTCTGGCTTGCACTGGGTCCGGGGAGCTACCTCTGCTGCGGCTCTGCAGGAAAACTCATTTAGGAGCCTGTAGACAAGCATCCTGGCTCAGTCCCAGCTCGTGCTGCATCCTGGGAGCTACTCCCACTGTGGCTCTGCAAGGAGAGGTGCGAGCTGGGACTAAGATGGGCTGCTTGCCTGCCAGCACCTGAATTACTTTTTATGAAGTGCCTCAAAGGGGGTAGTTGCTGGACAGGGCATAAGTTGGGACTGAGTGCTTGCAGTGCTAAACATTATCGATTAATTTAGTCAACTACACGATTAACTATCGGTCTGCGGACTGACACTGGGCCACAGACTGCTAGCTGCCAGGCTGTGGTGGCCTTGGGAGCTGGGCTTGGATACACTGCCTAGCACCTCCCTTACCGCTGCGGTTATTTGGGAGAGGCATGTCCTGTCCTGCCTCTCAGCCAGCCAGTGCCGGGGAAGGGCAGGGTCTCTTCTCAGCCGCAGAAGAGCAGTTCATTATGCAGTAGGAGGGCTGCAGAGAGCCCAGCACAGCAGACTTAGGGCTGCCATGACAGGGGTAGCAGCGCTCAGCTGGCGACTGGGAGGCATCACAGGGCTAGGTGAGAGGGGCGGGGCAGGCACGGGGGGCTCTGGGAGTTGGGCTAATGCTGGGAGATATAGGGATGGGGGCTGACACTGGGGGGCTCTGGGATGAAGCTAATACTGGTGGGTTCTGAGGGTGGCTCTAGTGCTGGTGAGCTTTAAGGGGTGGCAGGGCTCTAAGTAGTAGGGGGCTGGCACTGAGACATCCAGGGTGGGGAGCAGGCAATGGGGGACTCTGGGGACAGGGCTGGGACACTGGGGACAGACCTAATATTGGGGGCTGTCACTAGGAAGGGGCCTTTGAGAGGTTGGGGTGTAGTTGAGCTCTGGAAACAGGAGGCTGGTACTGGGGGGAGTCTGTTGGTGGGGGGCTCTTAGGGACAGGATTGTCACTGAGACATTTGGAATGGGGGCTGGCACTGGTGGGTTTTGAGGGCAGGAGGTTGGCACTGGGGGAGTTGGGTGCAGGGGATTCTTGGTTCTGTTGTTGGCACTGGGGGGTAGTGGAGGGGTGGGGAGCTGTAGGGGTTAGAGCTGGGAATGGGGGGCTCTGAGGGCTGGGGCTTTTTATACCGTGGACGGGCAAACCCATTCACAACCTTTTGGTCAACTGCTAATGTTTTATTTGCATATTTGTCAGCTAAAAGGTTGTGAATGGGTTTGCCTGTCCGTGGTATAAAAAAGGTTGGGAAGCACTGAACTACACAACTAACGAATTACATGGAATAAGTTGCCTAGGGAGGCTGTGGAATCTCCATTTCCGGAGATATTTAAGAGCAGGTTAGATAGACATCTGTCAAGGATGGTCTAGATCAGTGGTGTGCAACCTTTTTCCTGGCACGACCCCCGGGAAAATTTTGGTGAGGGGGAAGGGAAGCGCAGCACTTTTAAATGCCATTCTGCTCGCCTGCTGCACCCCTGACCCCACCACGTACATGGAGCCAGGGAAAAAATGGTGGCTGGCCCGCTACTGTGACACCCCCGACCCTCCTGGGGACTTGACTTGATGACCTCTCAAGGTCCCTTCCAGTTCTAGTGTTCCGATTCTTAACCTCCCTAATTCCAGGATGTATTAGTTGAAGTGCTGTAAGCAGGACATGAGAAGTGGTTCTATTACACACTGATTGGGCCTCAACTGGAGTATTATGTCCTGTTATGGGCTCCACATTTCAGGAAATATGAGGACAAATTGGAGAAAGTACAACAAACAGCGCAAAAGCCCCCCGAAACTATTATTTGAAAAAACTGAGTTTAATATGGAGAAGAGAAGACTGAGATGGGATATAACCTTTTATGTACTCGAAAGCTATTGATAAAAGGAGAAAAAGAAAATATTGTTCCCCTTAACCTCTGAGGTTAGCGCAAGAAACAGTTGGCTTAAATTGAAACAAATGTGGTTTAGGTTGGACATTAGGAAACATTTCCTGGAATAAATTGCATACATAGGTTGCAGAATCTACATAACTGGAGACTTTTAAAAACAGATTAGACAAACACCTATCAGGAATGATCTAGTTAATGGCTTAGTCCTGCCATGAGTGCAAGGACTGGACTAGACATTTCCAGGTTCCTTCCAGTTCTGTGATTCTATGAAAACTGTGACTTGAGAGAGAAAATTGACTATCAAAATGGACTTGTTCTTAGAGGCTTGGGTCCTTATTATGTCGTCAATCACATTGAAGCCAGTAGGACTTCTGTCATGAACTGACTTGCATGGGAAAACTTAAACAACAAATGGTCTTGTAGCACCTTATAGACTAACAACAAATTTAGATAGTATCATGAGCTTTCGTGGGTGCAACCCACTTTTAAACTTTGTAGGCTCATGCCCTTGGTTAGTATTTACAGCTGTGTAAAATGGATTTACTCATTTTTAAATTACTGTAATACTCACCATCCCAGAACTCTGACAGACCGTATGGCTACATCTACATTGCGCTCTCTTGTGCAGGAACATATGCAAATGAGGCATAGCGATGAATATTTGCTGCCATTTTAGCTCAAGGGGCTTTTGCGCAAGAAGGAGCAGTCCACACTGCACTCTTGCACAAGAGCCATTCTGCCTCTTATTTTCAGGCGCAAAAGCCTGTTGCGCAGAATGGTGGCTCATTAAGTATGCGAATGAGGCACAGCGATATTCATCGCCGTGCCTCATTGGCATATGTTCTTGTGCAAGAGAGCGCAATGTAGTCGTAGCCTATGTGTTTAAATAGAAGCCAGATAAAGTGCCTAATAATTGTATCTCATTTCCAAATGTGATGTGGATGAGGATCCATTGGGTTTTCTCCATACTCATACTTGACTTGAATCACCAAGTGCCTCATGCTGGTTTTACTTATTTACCTTCATTGTCTTGCACAGGGTTACCCTGATACTCATCAGCACAGAAACAGAATAGAAATACAACTCTCCAGCAATGACAGTTAGTGCATTTATCTAGGACAGATTTTTTTTTTTGATTCTGTGCTGATTATATAACAGACAAGAAAATAGTGTCCCAGAATTTTTAAATTGAACACAGCCTTCTCCCTTGAAAATATTTTAATATATTTCTCATAAACTTGTATTTTTAACTTACTTCCTACCTATTTTTGTAATTCCTCTCCATGAAATATAAAGACACATTAATAGGTGATCAAGAGCCTGTCTATGTTGAATTTAAAATAACTATAATACAATTTTATAGGAGCTGATTTTAATAAGTGTATTCAGACTTTTGAAATATTCATGTTTAGGATGTAAGCACATTTGCAGCATTGTCCTAGTGCATGAAAACAAAGTGAAGTTCACTAGAATACTTGCTATCCAAGCTTAGTGAACTATAAGCAAATGTTAAAAATACGTTTTTGAAAGCTCTTTGGTTTAATTTCTTAAACATTACTGATGGGTAGGATTTTTAAATGATTTCCAACATGTCCCTTTAATAGGAGTGATATCTTAGTGCTGCAAACATGCTTCCCCCCCTTTTATCTAGAGATCATTTGCTTTAAATACCATCTTTTGTCTGAAGGTGCTGATCTTCCTGTTTTGCATCAGTTCTTAATTTGCTGCTAAGATAAAACTAGTCTTTCATATGCATAGCTAAAATTACTCTTTTTTTTCCTCAATTGGTTTTTAACTCTTTGAATTGTCCAACAATTAACTACAGGTTGAACCTTTCTAGTCTGGCAACCTTGGGACCGGACTGGTGCTGAGCCAGAGAATTTGCCAAACCACAGGAGGTGGCTGTTGTCTCACAGCATTACCAACACTTCCACTGCTTACTGGGCTCTTAGAAGACATTTAGGGATAAATTAGAGTAACTGAGAGCCTGGTGGCTGTGAACAAACTTTATGGGACTGTGGGAAACTTGACCACACCAGTGATAATTGGACATGGAGCTAACTAAAATCATGCCGGACAACAGATGTTGCCAGACTAGAGAGGTTCAACCAGTACTTCTTACTCAGTCATAAGTCACAGCTGGAAGATTTTTTCAATTTTTGTGAGAAATTATGTTTTAAGAAATTAGAGTCAATTCTTGTTATTAATTCTGCAGCTCAAAATTTAGCCACTATTATGTTTAACTTGTTCAAGCCCCTAGACTCAGTACATGTGTCAGAAACAAAGCAGTAGTGCCTGTCTTCAGCAAGTAGAGGGGAAGCTTGTTCTAAAAAGATTGGAATGCAGATTATTTCTGCCAGTGATTAAACCAGTGCTTCATTGTATCTTTTTAGCTAGAGTTGACAGGTTGAAGGCAATGACTTCTATCAAAGGTAAAAGCTAAAAAAGCTTTTAGGTGTTTGCTACTAAGTTGGTATATCGGATCCCTCCCATCAGAACATGCTCTTCTTTTCCCTCTTCCTGTGTGACCTCGTCTCCTGACCTCATCCAAAAAAAAAGCAGACTTGGCCTTTTTCAATTTGGGGCTACCCCTGTTGTATGATATACTTAAAGGATATTTTACTCTTTCTGAGAGAAGTACATCATTCGACATGCTGTTAATTGCAGATTAAATTCAGCCCTTGAGTTACATACAAACGTGACTGTTTAATCTGAGGCTAAAGTTTTATGTCCAGGAAAAGGTTACTATCTCCTCTCAGTCTTACATGTGGCAGTTAGAATGTATTGATGTAACTGAAGACAGAACTTAATCCAGTGGACAGAGGAGAGAAAGGAGACCGATGACCCACTGATAAGAAACATTCTGTGACCTTTTTACTAAATAAGGTAATAGTTTTAGCCCCAAAGACAAACATGTGGTGACGGTTAACAGCCACACTTCCTACTCTTCTGTTTTTTAGGCTGTGAAGAGACTAACTGTCAGGATCTGGCTTGCTGCCTGTTTTGAAATGTGGATGCATGAACCACAAAAAAGTTAGCAGCTTTATAGCTAAATATCAACTAGTGCTGCAAAATGTCCTGCTCAGCTAGAATGAGAGTGACTTTATGACTTGCCTAGCATATGTGACAGCCCTAATTATATTGTAGTAAGCCTACACATGCTGAATCTATTTACTATTAAAACGAGGAAGGCTGCATAGCTTAAATCTTGAAAACTAGGCACATATATGAGCAAGATTTGGAACTGACTGCACCTGTTTTCAACCCACATGTAATTGAAAATCCCTTGTCTATTTAGCCTGCCAAGTCTTGCATACAGAGTTCTTTTTCTGAAACCTTGTTCATATGGTGGAAACACCACCATATAAACAAGGCCAGGAAAGCCAGGTGACTGTTCTGTAATGGCAGATGCCATCTATTATCTGTGTTCTGTGTAAGTGGTGGTAGTATCACTAAGCCCCAATCCTTCTCTCACTGTAGCTGGGGACAGAACTCCCGTTGATTTCAGTAGGAGCAAGATCGGGCCTGTAAGGCAGAGGGAAGCTGAAACCCTGAGCACAGTACTTGTCAAGAACGGAGTTGAGAGTGACACTCAGTTACGTTTATATTTTTTTAAATGGAGTATATTGTATAGCTGGAATTAAGAACACGACCTCAAGAGATGGTTGCTAGACACTTTTATCTATAAGATCCTGTTTTCAGGTGCTTAAACTTGCCAAAATGTAACCACTGGAGGCGATATTTTCCTTGCCCAAGATCTATATCAAGCTGACTTTTTAAAAAGTTCCTGCTAAAACACGTCCATTATTTCAGGGACTATGATTAGAGGAAAATACATTGCTGTGTGTTTAAAAAATGTACAACCATTTTATTGAAGCTCTTGTGCTTCCAAGCTTTGGCACTGGGACTTAAAATTTGGCAGGTGGTTTCTCTGGTTATGTCTACACTGCAGAAAAACACGTATGGCTGGCATGTATCCACTGTCTTAGGTTCATGGGGCTAGGATCGGATGCTATAAAGTTGCAGGATAGATACTTGGGATTGGGCTGGAGCCAAGGCTCTGGGACCCTACAAGAAGGGGGGGGGGGTCTCAGAGCTTGGACTGCAGCCTGAGCCCAAACATCATCTTGGCTCAAGCCATGCAAGCCCAAGTCAGCGGACACAGGCTTGCCAACGGTGTTTTATTGAAATGTAAATATTCCCTCTGGTGTTAGGGATATGCCTTTCACTGTCCCTCAGTCAGGATGTGGTGAAGCAAAGTGGTAGAAGAACGGTCGGGGGTATGAATAAGACCAGAAGAGGATGAAGAGGTGTGTATGTGCAGAAGGGGTCTGGGACAGGGGCCGTTAGAGTAGACAGGGGAACAAAGTGGCTGGGAGCACAGGAGCAGAAAGGTACATAACCGACAGCACACATTTCCCACCGGAAACTGTAATTGATTGCACAGGCAGTTCTGGAATTTCCTGACCTTTGATGTCAGACTTTGTAACCTTAACCTTTTAAAGTATTTATGTAACATAAATCAGATTTATTTATTGATTTTAAACATTTAACAGTATCTGTAAAAATACAGGTCAGTTTACTTGTACACAGGAAGGAGATTAATTTGCTGTGTCCTTAACTTTCTTTATGAATGCTCATGATTTTTCAGAGGTGTTTAAAAAGACCCACATGTTTAGTTGTAATTGAGTAGGGTTTCTTTGGGATTTTCTGTTTTGTTTTTATGTGGTTTTAAGCTGTCCATATTGGGACGAATATAGATACGTGATCTTCGAGCTTGTAATTAGAGATTAACACTCAATGGGCTTTAAAGTAGAATGTAAAATCTCCAGTTCTCGCTGAATCACAGGAGAACACTGTTAAAAGAAAGGGATAACAACAATGGCAGATATTTTTTCAAAACAATACCTGTGACTCCTCCGGTTTTCATTAGTGAAGTTGCTGACATTTTACTGATGCACATTGCTCCTCCTCTGTTACCCTCCCATCATCTTCCTCCACTTCCCATTCCATAGTTGCTTTTGCATCAAACTTTACAACAGAGGTGGGGAACCTCTGACACAGTGGAAACACGCAGTTCATCAGAGTTAGCTGCTGGTGGGCCACCAGATACTTTACTTGAGCATCCACAGGCATGGAGTCTTGCAGATTCCAGTGGCTGGGGGTTGCCATCCCAGCCAATGGGACTGTGGGAAGCAGTAGCCCAGCCCACACCACTTCCTGCAGTTCCCATTGGCTGAGAATGGTGAACTGCTGCCAGTGGGAGCTATGAGGCTCTTTGCCCACGGATGCTTAGGGAAACAAAATGTCTGGTAGCCCACCAGCTGCTAACCCTGACAACCTGCATATGACTGAGGTTCCCCACCCCTGCTTTACAGAAAACAGAAGTAGGTAAATTATTATAGTATGGAAATAGATCTCTAGCAATAGAGGCAGATTTTAAACATTCTGAGACGAAGAATATCTTTACTCCGTGTCTGTTCAGTGCCTAACACAAGGGGTCTTAGTTCATGACTGGGGCCCGAAGCACTACAATACAGATAATAGACAATAATGAACAGAAATTTTAATGCAGTTTGAATATTCAAATTGTGAACGCTGTTTGACTATGTCTAATATTATAAATGACTTTCATCTTTCTTCCCATTCCACCTTATTGCTTATATCTTGTTTGCTGTATTTTGTCTTTAAGTTGTGTAGCTCTTGGGCAGGGATCAGTTATTATATCTTACCTAGTGCAACAATGTCCTAATCTGGATTTGGGTATTAACGGAATATTAACAATAATAAAGCATTTCCAAAGACACAATATATCATTAGGATCAGTTTTGAACATTTTCCCCCTAAAATCATGAGCTGATGGGTTAGCTGAATAGTTGGGAACTAATTCTCATTTGAGGAAAATTGCCACGCTTATAATTTGAAATGGGGGAGATAGAGGAGACAAAGTTCATTAAGGCCAGGTACCAGTGTGGGGTCTGAAATTCTTTTAAAGTAAATACTATGGACTTCTAAAGATTGTTAGTTTTCCATTAAGTAAAAGTTATGTTTTCGGGACTGCTACTGAGCACCATATATGGTTTCTGGGGAAACATGGCAAGTCTCTTTGAAGCTCTGCTCCCTCAGCAATCAGTGTGCACTCAGCAGAATGTCAGAGAAAGTGTCACTTCCCTACTCTCAAGTGTTTTATGCAACTCGGAAGAATCAGTTTCTCCACAAAGGGGCTTATCTACATTCCTCTTAACTGAAGTTAAATACATGAAAGTTTCATGCTGCTGTACACAGTGGTGATAAACCAAGGAGGAGACCATTTTATGCTTGTGTTTTAAATACAAAGAAAAGCACAACATCCGAACTGTTGTAATTCTATATTGAGATGACATGAGAACTTACTGGAATGTCTGTTTATGGTCATATGATTTCATCAGACCTTTACGCTGGAAAAAAATGACCATTCAAAAATTAAGTTCTTGTTTTATTTACTATAAGGGAAACTTGATGAAGTGTATGAAGCCTTGGTCAATGCTCATCCCAACATGACTGTTTATAAAAAGGAGGAGATTCCAAGTAGATTACATTACAGATATAACAGTAAAATTCAACCAATCTTAGCAATGGCTGACGAAGGATGGGAAATCTTACAAAACAAGTCTGATCAACTTTCCCGTAAGTATATTTTTCTTCATTCTGTTTCAGATTTATAATTCTTTTCTATTCAAACTAGCACAATTAAATTATTAAATGCTTGCACACACACCTCAGGATCAAAAGCCCCATAATTGGATTAAAAAGGGTTGAAGAGTCTTCAAACGTATGGGTGGAATTTTCAAAAACCTCAAAGGATGTACAGTCACATTGAAAGTTAAGGGGACTTATGCTCCTTATTCCTTGTAGGGGCTTTTGAAAATACAGTGCTAAAGTGGCTTTAAAAACTTCAGCAGATTACGAATATAACTTGAAAAAGAAAAAAAAAAAGCTGCTTCCTTTTGCAAAAGCTGGGTCTTGGACCTCTTAAGAACTTAGAGCCCAATTCTGTAACGTTGGGTGTTGTGATATGAAGCACTGCAGCTCAGCCTGTTGAGCTGAGGGTGGTTAGTCTCTAATGCAGAAAACAAGGAAATGGCTTTGGAAGGGACCTCTGAGATGGTCTGTTGATTCAGAAATTGGAGAACACTTTTGTTAAACTGAGCAAAGGATATCCTGTCCACAGATTGGCTGATTTTCCTCTCACCTAAATAATTGATGCAAGAATTACTGTATTTGTAAGTATATCAGGATATTCTAAATTGGATATCCATGGGGCTTTGGTCATTACCTTTGTTTCGGTTTATCTTTTAGGGCATGATCCTCTGAGTTTTGGGTCTAAATTTTTAAAAGTGACTCATGCCATTTTTGTGTGCCCACCTTGAGATATTTTGAAGGGGCCTGACAATCAGAAGATGTGTGTATTTTAGCACTTTATGAAAAATATAGACCTTGGACTTTCTTCCATTTGTTAGTGCATCCTCCTCCAGGATGTTCACTATTTTCATTCCATCACCTACCTACTTTGTCTATGAGGAAAGATGTGTTAAAAAGTATGTTTGTGGTGGTCTTTGAAAGATGGTATAAAGTGATATGATACAGAAGGTTATGACCCTAGCCCCTTTCATTGGAAAAACAGCTATTGATGTCTACAAATTTAAACAAAATATTGAGGTGAAGAGATCCATGCAGGAAATCCAATCTTGGGATTTCATTGGTGACTTTTTTTCATTTCTGTGTTAATAATGAAACTGGGTTAATACTGAATGCTCAGTTTGGAGGTGATACTCTCAAGAAGTTTAAATGTTGATTAATGAATTAGATTCTGTCTTATGCTGCCTGTCAACTCTAGGATGAAAAGCTGATTGTCAAAGCACTCTTCACACCTTACTAAATATTTTCACTGTTCATAGTAATCCAACTTTTTCTTCACTTTTCCTCCATGATGCATTATTCACGTGCACACCTTTCTCCTGTTTTAGGGCTGCCTATGAACTCTCAGACCATGATCTTTTTAAGAAAACAGCATTGAAACACTAAGGCTACGTCTAGATTGGCATGATTTTCCGGAAATGCTTTTAACGGAAAAGTTTTCCGTTAAAAGCATTTGCAGAAGAGAGCATCTAGATGACCACAGACGCTTTTCCGCAAAAAGTGCTTTAGAAAAGCGTCTGTGCCAAATCTAGATGCGCTTTTGCACAAAAAAGCCCCGATCGCCATTTTTGCTATCGGGGCTTTTTTGTGCAAAACAAATCTCAGCCGTCTACACTGGCCCTTTTGCGCAAAAGGGACTTTTGCCCGAACGGAAGCAGCATAGTATTTCCGCAAAAAGCACTGATTTCTTACAGTAAGAAGTCAGTGCTTTTGCGAAAATTCAAGCGGCCAGTGTAGACAGTTGGCAAGTTTTTCCGTAAAAGCGGCTGTTTTTCCGGAAAAACTGGCCAGTCTAGACACAGCCTAGTTGTAAGACTGCTCCATGTTTCTGTCTTTGTATCTTTTCCATATTATTGACAGGCATGTTCATAGAAGATAAGTTCAGGGTCTCTCGCTACTCAGAGTTCCAAAAGGCCAAGAGTAAAGTAAAGGCCTCCATTCAGTATGGAACTGCCAACCCTTTAAGCAGGCTTTAGTGCATGATGCCAGTGATTGCGCTCTGAACTCTAAATCCTTGTGAGCATAGGTCTCTCCTGTCTCTGATTACTTGAGTCATCTCTAGCCTCCCCATCAATACAGAAGTTTCCTGCAGTAAATTCTTAAATGCTTTAAGTGACTCCCTTGATTTATGTGAAATGAATGCTGGCCCTAAGACTAAGGGTACGTCTAGACTACAGGGTTTTGTCGACAGAAGTTTTGTCGACAGTATCTGTCGACAAAACTTCTGTCGACAAAGAGCGTCTAGACACATTCAGTTCTGTCGACTAAACAAGCTGCTTTGTCGACAAAACCCTGTAGTCTAGACACAACCCTACATGCAATAACACCTTCTGTCAACAGAACTCTGTCGACAGAAGGTGTTATGCCTCGTAAAATGAGGTTTACCAGCATCGACAAAACTGCTGAGTTCTGTCGACGTTATGTCGACAGAACTCAGCGGTAGTGTAGACGCAGGTATAGTTTTGTCGACAAAAGTCCACTTTTGTCGACAAAACTCAGTAGTCTAGACACACCCTAAGTGAACATTAGGATTCACAGTGTCTAATATTATGGCTATTACTACTTAACATTTGTGTACTTGTTTAGAAATGTGATTAAATTGTTGTTACAATAAATTAGGCCATATGCTTTCCTTTTGCATCATGGATTTTCTGGGAAAAGGTCCAAAGATTAAATATTTCCTACTTTTAGTGAGTAATGGAAGTGTTTTAACAACTTCAGGCTGTCAGTAAGTTTTTGATAACTCACTTTCTCTTCTCTTTCTAGTGGGTAATCATGGATATGACAACATCCTACCAGAAATGCACCCAATCTTCTTGGCCTATGGTCCTGCCTTTAGAAAGAATACCACCAAAGAAGCCATGAGTCTCACAGATCTGTATCCCTTGTTGTGCCATCTGCTTGGCATCAGTCCATTGCCAAACAACGGGTCATTCAGCAATGTGGAAGATCTGCTGCTTAGGGAAGTTCCAAGAGACCCACATCCTAAATTTTATGAACAGGAGTCCTATGCTTATTTTATAGGAGTTTTTCTTGGTAGCACTCTTGTTGTTGTTTTTCTTCTAGTTTTTACTAAACACTTAACCCACCGCCAACTTCCTAGCATGCAGGTGCAACACACTGAAATTTCCCAGCCATTACTACAAGGCTAATATTACTTTCCAATGACGGCATTTCAAGAAAAACTGTGAAAAGTTATTCTAGCTATTTTGAACTTAAAAGTTTTCAGAGATTAAGTAAATGGATCTGCAAAAATAAATACATGCAACGTAAAGTGAGTGCTGATCCATTGGTGCACTGGATAAATGTGTAACATATGCATGTTTTTGTTGCACCATATAACCACTTAATTTTTCACGGGTTGAAAACCCTTCTGGATAACACTGGAAGGATATGTATGTAGATATTTAGTAACCTTAAACCCTTGGATATTTCATCCTGAACTAATATAGGTAAATTAAAATCATTTTAAATTCACTGAATTTGTGGTCTTTATCTTCTGAATTTAAACAAATTACTGATTGATTTAAAAAAACTATTTAAGTTAAAGTGGAAAGGTGGACAGATTAAATGTACACTATAAAAATGCTGCCATTTTGTGCATGCAACATAAATATCACTAGAATAGTTTTAGCACCAGTTGCATAGCCATATAGTCTGAATTCTTTCTAATTATTACATCTAACATAAATGCCTTGATATATTCCAATGGTATTACAGTTGGATAAGTCAGCATTAAAGTTATTTGAACCTCTACTTTGTTCAAATGTTTAAGGCTTCAGTGAGCTAAGATGTTCCATAGGAAAAAAGCTGATTAACAAGAACATACATGGGTCTGTAAGTAGCCACAGGAAACTGGGCTAAATTATCAAAAGGATTAATGCATGTGGCTGTCTGCTGAAGGTAATAAACAACAAAATATTGAACACAGCAGGCCAAAAATCTCTCCTTGACCCCCAGTTTAATCAACTGCAATTCCCCTCATGCCAATGGATTTGAGCCCCCACTGGTCAGCAGTTAGACTGGATCCTTTTAAATAATGTGTCTTTGAGGCAGGGGATGTTTAAGACTTTCTTAGCAGTTGCAGGGAAGTCTGCATTACATTATGGTGTTATAGAGTAATACAGAAAGTTTCCACAGAAACTACCAATAAAATGTGGAGTAATGTAACGAGACCCTCTCCCAGTCAAGAGACCCTGTAATTCTAAGCTCTTTAATATTACAAGTTCTTTATGTAAAAACAGATCTTTCTCTGAATTGTGAAAGGTGGTTTATGCTTGAGAGTAGATCAGACAGAATAATCTGAAATAATGAAGCAAGATAATTTGCAGTAATTCTTCCTTAAAGCAACTCACGGAACAACATTTGCTTGAGGCATACCGTATATACTCGAGTATAAGCCGAGTTTTTCAGCACAGTTTTTGTGCTGAAAAATGCCCCCCTCGGCTTATACTCGAGTCAGCATCTCGAGAACTGAGGCGGGCAAAGCCGCAGAGGCGCGGGACCCCCCGCGGCTGCGGCTTCAGTCCGGGAGCCTGTGGTCTGCTGGGGACCGTCCCCAGCAGCCCACAGGCTCCCAGATTGAAGTGGCAGCAGCGGAGGTTCCCCGCGCCTCTGAGGCTTTGCTCTGGCAAAGCCTCAGAAGCGCGGGAACCCGCCCGGTGCCCCTGGTCTGCTGGAGACGGTCTCCAGCAGCCCAGGGGCACCGGGCGGGTTCCCGCGCTTCTGAGGCTTTGCCAGAGCAAAGCCTCAGAGGCGCGGGACCCCCCGCGGCTGCGGCTTCAGTCCGGGAGCCTGTGGTCTGCTGGGGACCGTCCCCAGCAGACCACAGGCTCCCGGACTGAAGCCGCAGCCGCGGGGGGTCCCGCGCCTCTGCGGCTTTGCCCGCCTCAGTTCTCGAGATGCTGACTCGAGTATAAGCCGAGGGGGGCATTTTTCAGCACAAAAACTGTGCTGAAAAACTCGGCTTATACTCGAGTATATACGGTAATCATAACAAATTCCACTTTTGTAGCAGACATTGTTATAACTGAAACAGGGCATTGTGATCTATAATTCATATTGAGCAGTGTTGTGCATTTCTAATTGATATTACAAATAGGTGCCTGTAGCTCTATGGTGGGCAACCATCAGAGTTCTATGTGTGACACGCGAGACATTTTATTTACTATTGCTCATGCTTTGGGTCACCAGATTCCACTGGTTTCTGGCTGTGATGTTTTTTCCCAGCAGTTTTATTAAAGTGACACGCACATGAAGTGAGAGTGAGGTGCATGCTAATTGCACTTTCTGCATGCTATCAAAGTGCTGCTACAGTTCAGTCAAAATTCTAGGTATGCAAGTGTAGTGAGCAAAACTACTCTATCTTGAGAGACTCTTATAGCCCACTGAGATGGAGGGCCATTCATGATGCTCACTCTGTTGCCTATGTTGCCCATTGCTGCTGTCCTTTGTCAAATTGGGCCAAGAAAGAATACTGAAACTGTGTTGGTAGTCCCATAATTCAGTTTCAAAACTCAGTGTTGTGTATAACTTAATCCGACTCATGCCTGTGAAATTCTGTTGTAATTGTCCTGGGGAGTACATACTATTGCTTCACTTCCCCCTTTGCATAGTTGGTTTAAGAAAATCACCCTGTGATGGCCATAATACCTATAAAGAACAGTTACTTACCTCGTATATGTGATTCTTTGAGATGTGTTGCTTATGTCCATTCCAATATAGGTGTGTGCGTGGAGTATGCACATGTCGTCAGAAGTTCTCCCCCCCCTCCCCCCCAGCAGTACCCTTAGGGCAAGCAGGGAGCCCCCTGGAGTGGTGCCGGTATATAGGTGCATATATACCCTGTTATACCCTTCCCCACTCTGTTCCTTCTTACTGGTATGTTTCCGGCAAAGAGTGGTGGGTGGGGATTTGGAATGGACATGAGCAACACATCTCGAAGAATCAGTTATGGGGTAAATAACCGTTCTTTCTTCTTTTGAGTGATTGTTCATCTGCATTCCAATATAGGTGACTCCAAAGCAGAACCTAACTAGGTGGAGAGCCAGGGGAAGAAACTACAACTGAGCTAAGAACAGTGATTGGCAAACGTGTGGACCAAAGACCATGTGGCAGCCCTGCAGAAGGCGAGGATGGGACCTGCGCTGCAAAAGCGGTGGCCGTCGCCATCGCCCTTGTGGAGTGTGCCCTAAGAGATGGGGCTGGGATGTCTGCTAGAGAGTAGCACTCCCGGATACAGGCAGTTATCTGTGAGGCAATCCTCTGGGTGGATACGGGTTGGCCCTTCATACATTTCACAATGGCTACAAAAAGCTGTGGTGATTTACGGAATGGTTTGGTCCTGTCCAAATAAAAGGCTAACGCCCGTCAAACATCTAATGTATGTAGGACCTGTTCCTTTCCAGATGCATGTGGTTTCGGGCAGAAAACTGGCAGAAAAATATCTTGGGAAGTGTGAAAAGAAGAGACCACCTTAGGCAGAAAAGCTGGATGGGGGCAGAGTCTGACCTTGTCTCTAAAAAATACCGTGTAAGGAGGATCACATGTGAGTGCCCTAAGTTCGGGTATGTGCCTCACAGACATGATTGCCACCAGGAGGGAGATATGCTTGTATGATAGGCGAAGGAGTGAGCATGTGGCCATCGGCTCAAACGGGAGCCCCATAAGCTTGGAGAGGACCAAGTTTAGGTCCCATTGGGGAACAGGTCGTCAGACATGTGGGTAGAGCCTGTCCAAGGCTTTCAAAAATCTATTAACCATCGGGCTGGTGAACAATGTTTTGCCCCCCCTCCCCTGGGTAGAAAGCCGAGATGGCTGCCATGTGGACCTTAATGGAGGAGGAAGAGAGATGCTGGAGCCTAAGGTCCAGCAAATAGGCCAGGACCCTGGGTACTGATGCCCATCTTGGGTGCGTTCCCTGTTGGGATGCCCAGGAGCAGAACCGCTTCCATTTAGCAAGGTATGTGGATCTAGTGGAGGGGTTCCTGCTACCCCGTTGGACTTCCTGGACTCGTTGAGAGCACTGGAGCGCCTGAGCCGTTAGCCATGGACCTTCCATGCTGTCAAGTGGAGGGACTGCAGGTCGGGGTGGTGCAGCCTGCCCAAGTTGTGGGATATGAGGTCTGGGACTAGTGGGAGAGCTATGGGTCTTTCGCATGAAAGACTAAGGAGCATCAAGGACCAGTACTGCTGGGGCCATGGTGGGGCGATCAGGATTAGTAGTGCCCTGAACTCCCGCATTTTCAACAGGACCTTGTGGACTAGAGGGAATGGCAGGAAGGTGTAAAAAAGGCCTTGTGTTCAGCGAAGGAGGAGAGCATCCCCTAGGGAACCCCGACCCTGCCCCATTAGAGAGCAGTAGTGGTGACTTGTGGCGTTCCGAGCTGTGGCAAACAGGTCCAGGTGGGGAAACCCCCAAACATGGAAAATGGATTGGGCTACGTCCCAACACAGAGACCACTCGTGTTTCGCAAAGGACCTGCTCAGTCTGTCTGCCAGGATGTTCTGGGAGCCCGGGAGGTACGAGGCCATCGGGTGGATATCTGCCCCGATACAGAGCTCCCAGAGATGGACCGCCTCTGAGTACATGTGGGAGGATCGGGCTCCGCCCTGCTTCTTTATATACGCTATGGCAGTTGTATTGTCTGACAGGTTGAGAACCGACTTGCCCCTCAGTTGGGGAAGAAAAGCTGCTCAAGCGAGCTGGACTGCTCTGTTCCCTGACATAGATATGCAGGGAGGTATCATGGGGGGACCACGTACATTGAGTGTGCAGCTCCTCGAGGTGAGCTCCCCTGCCTATGTCCAATGCATCTGTTATGAACTGAAATGACGGGGCTGGTTGGGAGAACGGGACCTCTGAGCAGACCTCCTCTTGGTGAGTTCACCACTGCAGTGTGAGGAGAACGTTTGCGGGGATGGTCAACATCCTGTCCCAGGAGTAGACAGTTGGCTTGTGGACCTGAGAGAGCCACATCTGCAGTGGGCTCATGCGTAGCCTGGCATGTGGCACTACATAAGTACAGGCGGCCATCAGGCCTAACAGGCAGTCCAGGCAGTGGTCCAGGCAGTGGTCATTGGGAAGCTCTGAAGCGACAACCTCCGATTGCAGCGTGAGGAAGTGGGAGCTGGGCAGGGAGGCTTTCTGGGATCAGAAGTCTAAGGTGGCACCCACAAATTCTATAGTCTGGGTGGGAGCTAGGGTGGATTTGTCCAGTGAGAAAGTAAATTATATCCTCAAGGGTATAGTAAGTGCTCGTAACACTTTTATTAAAAAAATGGTTAAGTTGTATAATTCATTCTATTAGGCAGTTGAGTAATTTTTGGGGGGAAATTCAGTACATATGTCTAACATTTGTACCCTTATATACAGTTTAGTGAAGTGGATGTGTTCTACTTAAAGCAGGGGTGGGCAAAATATGGCCAATGGGACAGATCTGGCCTGCGGGCCTCCCTGCAGGGACTGTCAAGAACAGAGCAG